GCAGCTTTATCATAAGTACAGTTATATGGCATAATCCAAGTGTACTTGGATCATGTCAACCCGGCTTATAGTTTGCTTATATGGATGCTGCGCTAGTCTCACTTATACCTTGCTTGTATCGTATTCAAAACAGTGAATACGATACAAGCCGTGAATACGATATCAAGGTCGAGTCGGAAGGCTTCGTAACATCCAAGTCAGTTGGCAGCAAGCAACATCCATATATAAGTAAGTGTATTTATATGGCAGCATCCAAGTGTATTTGATCCAAGTACCAAGAAGCGTGTCAATTGTGCTTTTCTTAATATAACATTATCACAGTTTATTATTCTGATAAAACAGTAAAAACTGAAAAATTCAGAGTATATCGCAAACCATTGAAAATATATGACATAGTCAATAAAAGTTGAAATTTTTTATAACATCTATCAGAAAAAATGTAACTTACAGAGTGCGCCATGTAAAAAAACATTTTTTTTATTTTAATCAAAATATAAATTTATTTTGAACACCCTGAATCATTTAACTCAAATATCTTTACATATAGTTTTTTCTTCATCACTATAAAACTCTTCTACCAATTTTGAGAAATTCAATTTCAGAAACATTAGCGCCTCTAGTATTTTTTACCACCTTGAAATGAGTGAAACTGATATTTAAAAAAATTAAATAAGGATAAAAAAATATAGAACACTATGTTTATTATTACGAAAATAAGTTATGTCTTTTTTTACAGAAGCACAGCATTCAGAATTTAATAATTAAACAGACAAGCGGATGTTAGCTTATTTTAGTTTTTAGTAAAGATTACCCAATTACATAGATTAAACTTTAACCTTAATTTTGATACCTCAAAATAAGGCCAATTTTTTCATATAAATTAAAATTTTCCACATTTGTTAAATCATCTATGGTCTTATTAAGTATTTTGAAGATTTAAATATTTTTTCTTATTTGGTTGTTTGTAATATTTAAATTACAATATACTATAGATATATGTATATTTTAAAATACAGTATTACAAAGTTTATAGTGCCTGTAAACTTTGATATTAGAAAGACACAAATCATTTTGTTTTGTTTGGAATGGTAGAAAATATACAGGGTGTCCTATTCGTATACATATCTTTGGGTAATATTTTAAGTAATGTGATTCTAAGTAAAAAACTCTTTAAGAACCAGTTTTTAGCTATTTCATAAGTTGTAAGTTAATCAGATCTCATCCGAACCCTAACCTCCAAATTAAAATCTTAAAACACCGTCCGGCAATAGTACGTCGCTGGTATAATGCAACTGCTACAACGTGGCTCAAAAAAGTGCGAGTGGATCGTGATGATTTGTTTTAAATGGAACACCCTGTATATTATTGCATTTTTGGCTTCTTTTCTGATCAATTTACATAATCCTAACATATTATCATATTATCAAATATGTTTTAGAGATATTAATAAATAAATAAAAAAAAATTTTCAGCCCTTTTTAAACAAATTAAAAATACAAGAAATGTCCTAAAATCAAAACTATACTAGGTATTTACTATAGTTGGTCTGTACTTACTTTCCTATAAATATCGTAGTCTTAAACCATACAGGGTGTTCAAAATTATGTGCCAGACTTTCTAAAATATCAAATAGTTTTTCTTCGTTTTTTTAATGGAACACCCTGTATATTATTCCTTTTTTGTATTTAAAGTATTTCTAAATTTTTAATTGTTTTCCGCAGTAATTTTTTAACAAAGCCACCTAATGATTTTTGTCTGGTATTTTAGCGTTGAAAGAGCCATATTTAGGTAATAAAAACGCGAATATTTGCGAAACCGATAATTTTTTTTTACATGTATACAGTTTGGTCCATTAAAAGCAACGAAGAAAATCTATTTTATATTTTAGAAAGTTTGGCATATAGAATTTTGGACACCCTGTATGGCTTAAGATTACGATGTTTATAGTAAGGTAAGTACAGACCAACTATAGTAAATACCCAGTATAGTTTTGATTTGGCGATATTTCTTGTATTTTTAGTATTTTTTTAAGGCTGAAAATATCTCTGAAACTATCAAAACATATTTAGTAATTTTAGTAATATGTTAGCATTATGTAAAGTGATCAGAAAGGATGCCAAAAATGCAATAATATAAAGGGTATTCCGTTTAAAAAAATCATCCTAATCGACTGTCACTTTTTTGAGCTATCCTGTAAAAGTTAAAATATTTTCCAAAAATACATCTTAGTACGTACTTTAGGTTTGCACTTATACCAAATTCCCAAGTTTTTTATTATAGGAGCTACAGATGCCCGACACACTATTGCCGGACCCTGTATAATCTAAGTCTGTACTATCCTTTCGTTCACCCGTGTACATACTCACATCGTGTAAAGTCGCTTAACTTCAGTAGTCACGTTTTTTGACGGACAAAAGCTGAACCATTTTCAAAAACCAATATTGAATATAGAAATTATCACCACCCTATATCATCAAAACGAATATCTTTTCTTACCATCTCTTAAACAGTTGTAACGATTTTATATTTAATATTAATAATAGGTACATGACAATCTGTGCCAAACTAATAATTTTTAAACGATCCGTCACTGGTATAGAATATAATAACAGGAAGAAATGTATTTATTAATTTATTCCCCAACTTCTCCCATAATTATTTAATCTGCGAAAGTCAATTTAAAACAAACGGCTATAGTTTGGAACTTGGAACATAATCAAAAAAAGTGTTTTCTTGTGTATTATTGTCTATTTTTATTATTATTTAATAAAATATATAGTTTATAGTTTATTAAACCACTAAAGAGTTATTCCCTTTTTCTTTTTAAAATTTAATGATAAACATTTAAATATACTTTCTTCTCTTTGGCGGTACATTCTTAATCAGTTAAAATAAACTTGTGTAATCTCAGGCTATAAATAAGTCATTTAAATTAAAACTCTATGATTGCGAAATTCTTTTAAAAAGAAATATTTTCTTTGTACATATTCCGGAAGATACTATGTAGAATGTTAAACTCTAACATTGAACAAATCTTCCTACTTAATAATATTGCAAAAATATCTTCTATAATTAATAATCTTTTAAAAGTTAATCAGTAGCTGTATTTTATTTATTGAATTAATTATACAGTACGTGTTTAAAATAAGTTTTCATTGTTAAAAGAAAGCACATTGCAAAGATAACTGAATATGGTGAAATATGCGGCCTTAAGTTGCTAATTACATATCGTCGTTGTTAATTAGACCTTGAAGTTAATTATCTAAATTCTTCAGGTTTTTTAATAATAAATATGTAGTGTGTTTGTAGGTATACTGAATAATTTAAGCTTAGAACGATTGTTGCATTAAAAAATACTATTCTGGCCGATTCATTACTACAATCATCTGTTAGTGTGGGTTTATATGCATCCGTCATCCGTCAATGATTTTAAACAATTTTATTGGCTTATTTCAAAAATGACAGCTCGTATTTAAATATGATTGGCGTGATAGAACGACGGACGACGCGTGTCGTATGCGTATAAATAAATGCACCTTTAATATTATATATAGTCTGTTCAACGACAAAATTCTTGACAGTCATAGATGTGTCTGTCATTATAATTTCAAAGAAGTTTATTTTATTTTACAAAGAAATAAGTTGGTACAATTGGAACGCATAATTCATATATTTAAATTTTGAGTGACAAGTGATTACTTCAAAATATTGTAAAAAAAATATATAAAATTGAAAAAATCTATTCTTGGTTAATTAACTTTAATCTTAATTTTTTTTCTGCAGTACTAAAATGTATTAAAGTACTTGCAGTACTAAATGTACCTATCGTGTGATGTTATTTTAGAAATACTCCAATTTTATTTGTGGCTAATACAATTCTCTGGTCATGGTCTCTGGAAAACTGTGTCTCTGGCGGTCTCTGTGCACCGAATATTAACTGTAAACTATGGTCTGGGTCAACACTTAATTTTCCCTCGAGTTTTCCTCCACTTAATTTTAAAAAACACGAAACACAAGCAACAATACAGTCCAAAATGCAAAATGCAAAATATTTAGCATTTCTATTTGACATATTTTGACACTAAATTATAACCTATAATTTGGCAAGAGTTTCACAATTCTCAAAAATCTTAAGTCGAGTTCATACGCATAGGCGTTTGTCGTTCATCGTTGCGTCAAACCAATAATATTGAAATATGATCTGACATTTTTTAAATAAACCAATAAAACTGGTTAAAAACAACAAGAGACGACGCATGACGTATTTATTTATAAACGCATCCATAGTTAACTTAAAAAATATTAGAACCTTTTTTTAGTGAAATAAATGGATTGGTATGGAAGTCATCTGCTTTTTTTCTGTCATCGCCTGTCGAAATCTTACCTGAGAAAAAAAAAACAGAGTATAGATCACAGATACAGTTGTTATCTGTGATTTTCGTTCAAAGGTAAATTGTTATTTCTGTCAATTTTTGGCTGCCGTTTGTCGAAACGTTCTCTGATTCGTTTGACAGACTTTACCTCAAAATAATATCCGTATTCATTGAAAAAAAATCTGGTTTTTATTCTTACGTGCACATATGTTATCTAAATAAGTATACAGTTTTATAAAATCCTCTTCCTACAGCATTTTTGTAAGTAATTTAATCAATATAGGTAAATGAAAATTTACTAGTTAGTTTGTGCTTTGAGTTGGATTAACATATGATTTTGCAAAAGTCGGTCTAAAAGATAAAACGCTCTAATTAACCTACTGCAGTGGCGAAGCCACGGGGTGGGCTTCGGGAGTACAAGCCCCCCCCCCCCTAGGTTTAGTCAAGTAATAGGATATTATTAATTTATTTGGTCACAAACGACTTGGGTGTATGTACTTTGAGTAAAATTTTGATTCTAGCCCTCACCCACCTTTCCCGAATCCTAGATCCGCCCCTGACCTACTGTATGTTTTTCGATCAAACTTTTTTATCACACAAAAAATTAATATTTTTTATTTGTTATAGAATCTTCGTCAACAGGAGTCTTCACTTGGAAAATATAAAGTTCTATGGCTTCGATATGGATTACACCCTGGCGGGTAAGTCTTTATTAATTAAATAATGCATTTTTATATCGTATGATCGAAAAAAAACGGCTTCAGCGATGACTATGAAATGAGGATTGTCATTTTATTTTATATGTAAATTTATATGGGATATGTCATCATTGTCATCGATCGTCATTTCCCAGCCAACTGGACGCCGTTTTTTTTCGATCATACGGTAGTTGTTTTTGTCGGATTTTGGTCAAATAAAACTCAGAATTGTCTAGTAAAAAGACGACGTTTCGACAAGTGGATTGTCTTCCTCAGGAAATTAAATCAAATTTAGAAATATACCGGGTGCGGCTTAAAGTGGCTCACACCTATAACTTTTTTATTTTTATTTTCAGAGAAAAAAAACTAGAATTGGTATATTAGTATATGACATAAATTAGGATTGATTGACGTATTCAATTGTTGTTGGTCACTTCCTGTTTCACCGGAAATGACTACAACTTTTGATATTTTAATAACACCCTTGATATTTTTTTTACTTTATTTGATAGAATGTGGCACTCTAAATAGAATGACATATCATATGTCAATTTTTGACCTTTTCGCATATGGTTTATTTGAAACTGTAACCAAGTGTGTTACCAGTTGTGGTACCAAATTATTCGTAAAAACTGCTTTTTTTAAATATGCTAATGAGCCACCCTTGTTCTATTTGAAAAAATTGAGATATGATTTAAGATACGATTTGGGCATCTTTTAACCGGCCAAGACAAGACATGAAAAACATTAGGCGATCAAATATATTTTTCAAAGGCTAGCTAGATTTGAGCATCTTTTAGCCGGTCAGGAGAAGACACTAAAACATTCAATGATCAAATCTATTTTTCCAAGGTTCCTTGATGAAAAATTAGTGTTTTTAACATAGCACTCTAGATTGAAACTTAAAATACGATTTCTTTAAGCGAAAATGTCAAAAGTTGACACTTGATATGTCATTTTATTGAGAGTGTCATTTTTTGTCGAATAAAGTAAAAATATACCGAGGGTGCCATTTAAAAATCAAAAGTTGTAGTCACTTCCGGTGAAACAGGATGTGACCAAAAACAATTGAATACTCCAATCAATCCTCATTTATGTCATATCTAACAGACTAAATCTCGGTTTTTTTATCTGAAAAAATAAAAAAAAATTATAGGTGCGCGCCACTTTTAAGACGCACCCGTTATATAGGAGTTAAGACTTCGCATTACCAATATAGAATACAGCCTGAAAAATTGCCACCAACGTGCTAAATTTTTATTTTCTAGTAGGAACCATTTCTGAAAAAAAAAACAATATTGTGATTTAATGTGCTGTTCTAATTCAATTACTAATATTTATTTTTTTCTTGTTAATTGCTCCGCGTCAAAAAAAAATGTGTAGGGACAAAAAGTATTTACATTGACTACTATACACTTTTTTATTTTAAAATATAAAAAAAATATAATATAAGTGGAGTAACGGTTTGAACATCCTGTATATCACATGCCTAATGAAGAATTCTCCTAAAAACTGCATTTAATTAGTGTTTAAGTGTCATCCACACACTAAATTTTTTGTGCGAGTTGTTATTAATAATAGTAGATAGTGATAATATTTACTGATAATATACTGACTTTGGGTCACACTAACTAAATAAATTTGTAACGAAAGTCACACTGACAAATTTTATATTAAAATCTCAAAATTGCCCAAATAATTTTTGTCGCACTTAATCATGCACATCCTGTATATATCCTATATTTCTGATATAAAACGACTGTGAGGTTAAACTTTGACAAAAAACTATTTCATTGAACATCTCAGTTTGCGAAAGAATGTTTATTGTATATGGAAGATAAAAATCTATAGCATGTTTTAAATCCATGAAAGATTTTAGGGATTTATTAAAAATAGACAGGCAGCTTTAATCAGTTTCTAATGTCTAAAAAATTCGTTATTAGGAATAGGAAAATATTTTTAGCATTCCGAATAATGCACTATTCAAACAAAAAATAAATAAAACATTTCTTTAATTAAATGTTAAAATGGGGTTTACCAGAATCTTCTACCATATTAATATAAAAAATTAAAGAGAAAAAATATCAATTGCAATTTGCAATACAGTTGGAATTTGTCGAAATGCTATGAACTGATTCATCACACTTTTCTTGACCGTCGAAAAAATGTATAAATAGGTTCCTGAATAATATTTCCTACGTTACAATTCCACTTGAGTACGAGTTAAAATTGGAGATTTTTAGCGTGCACGAAACCCTTATGAAGTTCAAGGTGAAAACGGAAATTTTTAAGATCGTATCTGAGTTGTATTAAACCCTGATTGACATCTGACATGGAAATACCGCAATATAGAAATTTCATTAAAAATCGGTGGAGCAAACATACCTATTGTCCTATTGTGTATCACGTGATTCAAATGGGTTAACAAATCTCAAGTATTATGCAAGTAACTGATGCAAGTATTATATACATATACAGTATGTCCCGGATTGTCTTTAGAAGAAGAAAAACTTTTTTATTATTGACATTTTGAGAAAAATACATTCTTCATAAAAAATGTTGCTTGTTCTAAAATGGTTTAATCCCGTTTATACTTTTCCAAATTTCCATACCGTTTTACAAAAAATTAAAAAAAAACATGAAAATGTAGTTGCATTTAGTCTTAAAGAAAAAATTAAGTCTTAAAAATCAAAACGAGTTTCTATGTTAATGTCGGTTTCATTCTTTGATAGATTCTTATTGACAGAATTTTAATTTACGTCATATATTTTGCTGTTTTAAAATGTTAAAGAAGTACAAAATATATTTAGTTCAATGCTAGGGTAAGGGTGATTATAATAGTCATCGGGAAATGTGATACTTTAACAAACATCAAAAATATGATATCATTTAAAATTAATTATAACCATAGATAAAACAAAATAACCATGATTTGTGCCTTTTAACTTTTAGGAATAAAAATTCAACGACATTTTTATGTTTTTTTTAGTTTTCTCGAAAACGGTATGGACATTTGAAAAAGTATAAACGGGATTAACCATTTTAGAAGAAGAAAATTTTTTTATGAAGAATGCATTTTTCTCATAATATCAATATTAAAAAAGTTTTTCTACTTATATACTTCCGAAATAGATAAAGAGATAGTACTTCCGAAAATACCGGAAGTTGTAAGCAAATCTGTTGTTTTAAGTTAATACATCTATTTTCTTTTAGATTAATATACAGAGTGTAGGTGAATAAGTACGAAAAAATCAGGTAGTGATTGCCTGATGTATATTATCTGGATGTGCTATTACCCTACAAAGATATTTATACAGTGTCACAGAAAAAATCCGTATAGGCTTGGTGCATTCTCCGCCGTGCTGCCACCATCGGAGAATACAATAAACAGGGGACTAAACAAATACACGGGTTTAAATAGCGAATACACGAAAATTTTGTTATATAATTATTCTAAAAATGTTAGGAAGTATAATTTGTGGAAATTCTAAAAAACCTTTCTTCTTTCTTATTTGGGTATGCCCATATACAAAGCGTTTATACAGAAACTTCACTCGAAATATTGTATCATCATTTTTTTGTTATCCCTATTTTTGAAATAAATAGTATTTTAGTGTTTAACAGCCAATTTAGAAACTTTTTGTCCCTGCATGTTTTTTCAACATAAAACAGTTAATATAGGAAAATGATATTCATTATTAAGTTTAATAAGGTGTTTCCTATTATGTGCACATATAAACATACTACTATTAAAGTATACACTTATATTTAACGTTCTTTAGTTTTCAATAGTACAAATCATAGTACATCAATTCAAAATCATTGTTATTTAAAATATTTAAGTACGTACTTAAACATCGACGACTCCGTTATCGCTTATTTCTTTTTAAAATTATATCTTCGCACATCACTCAGTTGGTAATTTAGACTTAAAATGTCTAAGTGGTTGTCAAGTCCTGTCACCAATATATTTTTAACTTTCTATTTTTATTGTTTTTTTAATGTGATTTTTAATAGTTATAATACATAACAACTATTAAAAATCACGTATTATGCTAAATTTTAACAAACGCATCTTTAAGAATGGAGAAATAATGTGTTTATTGTCCAGCGAGAAAGTAATAAATTAAAAATTAATAAATACTTATTTGATTCACTTTCACAAAATTTGTATTAAAATAACCGTCTGTCACTCTGAGGACTTCAATCGGGTACCTCTATCCACGTGCCCACTTTGGTTCCAATTGGCCGATAATTAAGAAAAATCCTGATGATTTCGTCCATTTAGAGACATCAATTCGAAACGTCGAGGGCATCATCCTGTAGCCTGCCCCAAATATGCTGAAAGCGATCCACATTTTTCTGCAATATCAAATCTTTAGTCCCACTCTGATGAAGATGTAAACGAAACGTCGTTTCCAACTTTGCAGAGTGGGACCGTGTGCATTGTCGCTCACATAGCCTACCCACCAAATTTGGTCGCGTTCGGACAACATCAACTTTTGACGTTTCTTACGTCAAAACTAACTGTTAGTGACACGTGTCGTACAACACGGTCAAGTTGGTATTGGACCATACCATATCGTATCTTGGACTTGCCAAATTTCATAATGGACGATTTTTCCGCCATTGAAATGGGGTTTTGCTACATTCCGAGTTTCAGCCCTCTAGCTCACATAGGGCTCGAGTTACGACGCTCCAGAGACCCATCTTAACTTCCTCATTGGTTTACCAACCACTTTTTCGATCGTTACCACTTTTCGTGAAGCTAGCTCGTGTGTCACGGCCTTCAATTTTTACTACCAGCGCGCGTAAAGAAGTTTTACTTCAAAAATGTTATGTACATTTTGTTTTATGTTAATTGGTTATTCGAAAAAAATATGCGATTAAAGTATTTTTTCTACAAACGTCAGTAAAAATGTAATTTTTAACGCATGCTGTCAGTGCCTAAAATGTGACATTATGTCACTGATGGTAAAAGTCATTTACTTTTAGCACTGAAGCGAATCAATTACCCTAGCAACCATAAACTTCATGATTGATATATACGAGCATAAACTTGTTTGTAGAAAAAATAGTGTATGATATGTGTGCTAAAAACTAAAAGTGATTTTATCTTGTTCGAAGGGATGGGACACTCGCGTCGTGTCCCAAGCTTCCCTTCTCACAAAATAAAATACCACTTTTAGCACTTATATCATAAATAACTATTATTATTGTTAAAACTGTTCTAATACGATTTTATTTATATTTTTAGAATACAAGTCACCGCACTACGAGAAATTGGGATTTGATTTGGTCAAAACACATATGGTTTCCCTAGGCTATCCTCAAGAAATTTTGGAATTTGAATATGATCCGTCTTTTGCAATAAGGTAACTAACTATTGAAATTAGGCCATTTTACAAGTTATACTATTGATACATCAAGTACCTATTTCACTGACAGAAAATTCATTTTACCTGCAAACTAAAATGACAGCCAACAGTTGTTACTGTCAGGTATCTTTTTGTTGTACAGATTTGATTCTTATTATGTAAACTTTTGAATAAAAAGATTAAGAAAGGAGCATATCAACAAAATTATCTTTGAATGTGGTAGACAAAGATTCATTATTGAAGGTAAAATCATTTCGGACGATGCTAACATAAAAATTAATGTCAAATATTATTAAGTATCACAGTTTCCGCAGAATGACATCGTTAAATGAAACAGCCAACAGTTGTTACTGTCAGGTATCTTTTTGTTGGACAGATTTGATTCTTATTATGTAAGCCTTTAAATAAAAATATTAAGAACGGAGCATATGAACAAACTTATCTTTGAATGTGGTAGAGAAAGATGCATTATTGATGGTAAAAGCATTTCGGACGATGCTAACATAAAAATTAATGTCAAATATTATTAAGTATCACAGTTTCCGCAGAATGACATCGTTAAATGAAACAGCCAACAGTTGTTACTGTCAGGTATCTTTTTGTTGGACAGATTTGATTCTTATTATGTAAACCTTTAAATAAAAATATTAAGAACGGAGCATATCAACAAACTTATCTTTGAATGTGGTAGAGAAAGATTCATTATTGATGGTAAAAGCATTTCGGACGATGCTAACATAAAAATTAATGTCAAATATTATTAAGTATCACAGTTTCCGCAGAATGACATCGTTAAATGAAACAGCCAACAGTTGTTACTGTCAGGTATCTTTTTGTTGGACAGATTTGATTCTTATTATGTAAACCTTTAAATAAAAATATTAAGAACGGAGCATATCAACAAACTTATCTTTGAATGTGGTAGAGAAAGATTTATTATTGATGGTAAAAGCATTTCGGACGATGCTAACATAAAAATTAATGTCAAATATTATTAAGTACCTATCACAGTTTCCGCAGAATGACATCGTTAAATGAAACAGCCAACAGTTGTTACTGTCAAGTATCTTTTTGTTGGACCGATTTGATTCTTATTATGTAAACCTTTAAATAAAAATATTAAGAACGGAACATATCAACAAACTTATCTTTGAATGTGGTAGAGAAAGATTTATTATTGATGGTAAAAGCATTTCGGACGATGCTAACATAAAAATTAATGTCAAATATTATTAAGTACCTATCACAGTTTCCGCAGAATGACATCGTTAAATGAAACAGCCAACAGTTGTTACTGTCAGGTATCTTTTTGTTGGACAGATTTGATTCTTATTATGTAAACCTTTAAATAAAAATATTAAGAACGGAGCATATCAACAAACTTATCTTTGAATGTGGTAGAGAAAGATTCATTATTGATGGTAAAAGCATTTCGGAAGATGCTAACATAAAAATTAATGTCAAATATTATTAAGCATCACAGTTTCCGCAGAATGACATCGTTAAATGAAACCGAAATTAATAAAAATATACTCCACGGGTAGTGGAGTATATTTTTATTAATTAGGGTTTAAATGAGGTCCAAATAGGGATAAATGAGGTCCAAATTATAAGAAAATGCATTTTCTACGAAAACTTGAAGAGATAGATAAATGGTATAATACAATTTGATAGACAATTAAATTATGGATCTGGACGATGGTCCACTTTAGGTACGTCGTCAATCTTGAAGTTATTGATGTAAATTTGATATTAATATATTCTACAAAAAACATTCTCAATTAATGTTTTAACGTTTTAAGTACGGATCGTACGGATACTCGGCTAAATGTTTGAGATTTCTGCAATAAAATTATTTATTTTTTGAGGTTAGAAATGTTAGAATATAGCTTTCTTTATTAAGTTTAATAAGAGTGACAAGGAAGACGCAGATTTAGGTTTATTTGTCTTTTGCTCGCGTATATCGCTGGCGGTAACAATGAAATATTGAAAATCGGAATTTTATTTTATTTATACTTTCCTATTAATTTTGATATTATATTTTGATCTGTGTTAAAGGTAGAGAAGAGGATCACAATGGTAAAAACGTCCGCCGTAACTGAATTTTGATTGCATTGATTACAACATTCTTTTTGGGGGGTTTGTTTTTGGTGTTATTTATGGACGATCCGCACTTTTTTTGTTAGAAAATGTCATTATAAGTGTTCTTCTTCTCAATTCTGTATAGAAAATTTTAAAATTTTGACGTACCTAAAGTGGACCAGACCCTGGATCTGATTCCCATAAAATATACAGGGTGTTCCATTAAAGTAAACAAGTTATTGCCGTTTAAAACTAGTAATTATTTAATATAAATTTTTAGGCAGTCTGTATAAGGTAGTATTTTGTTTAGGTTACACAATATCTGGTCAATAAATAAACTTCAGTAAATATTTAGTATTAAAAATTTTGATACCCTTGGAGAAATGAAGCCTTAAAATTTTTACTCCAATTTCATAAAATTGAAAATATTTCAAAAACGGCAAGGTTTAAGTGTGATAAACCTTAATCAAAGTTACCTTTATTTCACTCGTAGAATCTAAAAATAGAATAATATACAGGGTGTTCTGACGTCGTTATGGCTTCTGTAGTCGCAAAGCAAGAATTTCTTTGAAAATTCTAACTTACTAGCAGACCCGTCTACACGTTGCTGTGGCTATATACATTAACTACCAAACTACGAATTACCTAAGTACCGAACTACCCAACTACCGAACTACACGTAATATATAGCCGGTGTTATTCTGATGTATAAACTATATTATTGTAAAGTTCCATTAAAATCCATTCAGTAGTTTTTGCGTGAAAGAGTAACAAAGATTCATACATCCATACATACAAACTTGCCGCTTATAATATTAGTAAGGATTTAGAAATCTCATGAGATTTAAATGTTAATTTTATTATCTAAAAAAAAAGAGAAAAATTGCTTCATTTATATTTAGACAATATAGATAACTCGTATTTTTTAACATACTGTGATAGCGGTAGAATTTTGCAAAGAGAGAATTACACTAAGTTTTTGTTTATTACTATAAATATACAAGAATCTAATTCGTCAAATCATATCAAAAATATTCCAATATTTGATAAGACACTATTCGGCATGTCAAAATGAAAATTTAAATAATTAAATGCTTCTAAAATATAAAATAAACACTTTAGATTCATGCTTTTTTATTGAATTTGTGATTCATTAAATATCTTTTAAAAAATAGCACGTTTTATGTTTATCACTAATATTATATTATTTTATTTTGCTATTTGTTAAAAAATGGATAGCCCACTTAAATTCCTTATAATAATTATAATTGGGATTCCTTTTTTAACTATACAAGGTGTCCCAATATTTTATACACATAGGACTAGGACGTATTTTTGGAATCAAAATAAGAACATTGGACACAATTTTTTACAAAGAATAATAGTAATTGTAATTAACTAATACAAAAGTACTTCGTTTAGTTTGGTTTAGTTATATAAACACATTTTTTAAGATATTTTAAGAAATGTTATTCCGATTTGAATGAGATTTGGGGCACCTATGTTTTGCTAAGCGCTGTAACATTTGACTTTGACAAAAGTCAAGAAAAAGTACGGGAAAGGTGAAAGCTGTCCCCACCCTTACATATATTTTACTAGAAATATTTTCCAACTCCACCAACCGCTGATTTCTTTTTCATAAAATGGTACTTCTAATATTTACTACATTTTTTGTCTGGAATATAGGGACACCCTGTATATCGAATAATAATCAGCCGTCAGTCATATTTTGTTCTACAAAATTCTGAATTTCTATAAGCATTCTTGATTCGTTCTTTTTGTCCTAAATTTTTTGGAACAAAATACCACATTGGGAGTTATTTAATTCTAGACCTTATGTCAACTATGTTTTGGGTTATAATTAATTAAACTAGCAAAGGAAAGGAAATCTTTAGGAGACTCTGTAATGCTGCTGCTTATCTTCGTCAAATGCAAAATATACAGGCAGTTATTTTCAGATAGCATTTCTTTAGTACTAGCTAGAATTAGGTTTCTTTAATATTGAATATTTATGCTATTTATAGGTTATAGCATATTCAGTTAATAAGGTCAGTAAGTTATTCTTACCGGTTGAGATGTAATTGGAGGTCAAGACCTCCAAAATATCCGAAATCAGAACCTTACTGACCGTAATACTTATGCTATTTTTTCCACTCTGAAATATATAGCAATAGTCAGTATTTTTCAGTGGATAAAAGTATTGTAAAAGTTTGAAATACCTTATAGACGGCGGTGGTAGCTTGTTGGTAGGTTGTAATACAAAATTATTTTTTAATTACAAAAGTGTTACATTTTAAATATGTTTAAAACACTTTGTAATATTCTTTTCGTAATAGAAAATGTCCTTGAAAATAATTAACTATATTTCATTACTATGTTTATCAGTTATTAAATATTATTTACACAATTTGTACATACATTCGGTGTCCCACTACACATTCTAATATTAAAAAAATAAGTTGGCGAAATATACACAAATATAATATCGTCATATTTTTATCAATTGTTTCATAATATGGATGAATTATTTATATTAATTTTGACTAATTAAACTAAACATTTACCATTGTTGGTTGAAATGACTAAAATGAGACAACTCTCTAATATTATAATACATATTAATTTTTGTCTTATTAGGAAAGTTATATCAAATTTATTTTATTACAGCAATTTGCTAAATAAAATATTCGTTCTTTTAATATTTTTTATATTGTTAATTTATTATAAAACCTTGGAATCAAGATTAAGAAGGCTTTACGTCCATTGTATTCTTAAGATAATAATCCTAACATATTTTTAACTAGCCATAAATGCGATAATAAAATTAATGAATCTTAAAGACTAATTTTAAACGATATTTATATCCAAACAACCTACATTAAAACATCATTAAAAAGCCGGGTCTACGTGATGTTTGAACTGTAACGATAACATGTCGTGATACCTACTTAACCATTTTTGTGGTTAAATCGATAGGATTTATGTTTTAAGGGGTTTTGGGTAGTTTTCAACTTTATAATGATCAAAAAAAATTAGACATATTCCATACATATTCAAACTCCATCCGAATAATAGTTGACGTCTTTGCCAGACTATCTCTTCATTCGACGAAAATCTTTGTTCATCGAACGCAACGATGGGAATTTTGGCGAGTACGAAAGATATTGTTACGGATTCCGTGTGTCCACTAATTCAAACTCACGATAAAATACTTAACGAATTTATTTTTCTCAGTATTTACAAACAATGTGTACTAATTACAACACACAATTAACTATTTATAAAATTCGCCAAATTGTCACGATTCACAATTTAAAACGCGGTGTTTTTAATTCAAACTCAAATTCAAAAAAACTGTCCCAACTGCCGATCGCGCTCCTTTAATATACCCTACCAACTGTTTCTGGAACCTTCTATTTCTAGAATTCTGTAGTATTTCTTTTACTTGCTAGTAAAAATATGTAGGCAACCAGCAATACACGTTGCGGTTTAGTTTCTCGCTTCTCCGACAGATGGCCCGCTACCTTAACATTGCCCCCCTCATTAGATCTGATCGTCCCGATCAAGGTTCCCAGGCTGGTATTTGTTCAGTCGATCCAGATGTACTACTTTCATCTTACTTTTAGGGCTACACAACATCATTTATCCTCTTGATGACTGTATAAGGTCCTTCCCATGCTGGAGTTAACATTGGAGACCCTTCCTTTCTTGCGCTGCCGGTTATATAACCATACCATATCGTCCTGTTGAAATCCCGCAGAAATTAGCTCTGAGGTCGTAACGAGCTTTCATCCGGTCACTGGCTAGCGCAATCTTGCTTCTAGCGGCCTTATGAATTTCCAATAACCTTTCCTTCCTAGCTATTCTTTCGAACGACAGTCCAACGTTATCTTGTAAATGTAAATGTTCGCAATAATCCACCCAGTAAAAACGATCTTTCAGCTTGATCAGGGTCTTGTTTACTCTAAGATGGGCTCCAGTTCTACCACCGTGAGTTTCTTCCAATACCTGTGCAATCTTCTTCCTTGGTACCCGTAACTGAGTTGTTACTGTTCTGCCATCCGCACTTTCCCACGCGCGCTTTAGCAATCCTTTCTCAATCACCAGTGAATCCCACTGAGCCCAGAGAGCTTTGAAAATCAGCCCTCTGACCGCAATATTCTGCCACGATGGTCTCTCGCCGTTTCCCTCCTTGAGCCGTAGTATCGCTCCGATGTCTGGATCTTCCATTTGATCTTTCCTCAATTGTGTCGTCGTCCACTGTTCGTCAGTTCTCAATTTAAAATTCCTTACTCTGATAGTGCTTTCGCGATGTTTCATTTTCTTGTCCAAGTTAGCTCGTTGTCAATCTGGCTCGTTGTCGATATTTTGTACCCGTCCTACACGGCACCCAAAGGTTTTCTCCATTTTCCCGGACACAGTCTTCTTGGTATCACCAGGTATCATCACAATTTCTGGTGATCTTGCTACCATATTTTCCGGACTTTTCTCTTTAAATACAGCAAATTTCTCATTTCCGTTTTTCAGGATGTTTCTATGGTGATCGAACGAAAATCCATGTTGACTGATCACATCCATACCCATGATAAAATCATCTTCAATATCTGCCACTAAAACGCTATGCCGAAACTTCAAATTCCCTAACTCCAGTTCAATATGGAAGCCTCTTCCCGTACAACGGCCATTTCCCCCGTAACTGTACGAAAGCACACTCTTCTTCTAAGAGGCATCAGCTTCAAGCCTTGCACTGAGTTAGTCCGCACCAACGATACCATAGCGCCTGTGTTCATTCGAATTCTTCTACCATTGACCTTCCCGTTGATCACCAAACTGTCAGCGGTTCTTTCTAGACTCCTAATGGAAAACATCCGGGGGGCTCTGTTTTCCTCAGCCAATACTCGCCCATTAGTATTGATTTCCTGGTGCCTATGTTCTCTGAATGGTAAACGGAATCGCATTTGGACGCGGCAATCCCGTTTAATGTGGCCATTCCTGCCACATCTATAGCAACTTATGTCCTGGTATCTTCCGATGTGCCGATGTTCTCTGGATGATGAACGGAATCGCATTTGGATGCGGCAATCCCGTTGGATGTGGCCATTCCTGCCACATCTATAGCACCTAATATCCTGGGATCTTCGGGTGTTGCTGACTACCTTGTTCATTAGTAGCTCACATAGTTTACTAAACATGTCCTCCAAACGTATGTGAGAACTCTTTGGCTGTTCCTCAACCGTTACCAATCTTATCTTCGATCTAGGGATGGCGCTAAAAGCAGCTTCAATTTCCAGCGCCCTGACGAGTACTTCGCTGCTGGTCGAAAATCGCGATATTTGCAGCGCCCTCTGTAACTTGTTGTCTTTCAATCCACTGATAAAGCACTGGGCAGCGAGTTCCTCCCTAAACCCTTCCGGTGCTTCTGGATATGCTAGGTGTACCCGCCGACGTAAGTCTGCTTCAAATTACTTCAGACTCTCACCGGACCTCTCATATGGGCCTGGTAAAGTTGGCGTCGATGTTGGTCGCCATATCTTCAGTCCAGTGCAGCCACCAAAGTCTCATACTCCTGCTGTTGGGCTGCAGGAATAGTTTGTAGCAGTTCCAGGGGCGCTATTCTGTACAATCGTCGGTATCGGCAAGTTACCGACAGCTATCGGTACGTACGGCTAATGAGCGTCGTGTTGATTGTTCTTGTCATAGTTACCGATCGGCCCTATGACAGATATCGCAAATTTGTACCGACGACTCTCGGTATCTTTACCGTGAGGTTGACAAGGGCACGGTAGAGATACCGATTTTCGTCGGTACAAATTTGCGATATCTGCCATAGGACCGATAGGTAACTATGACAACAACAATTAACACATTTTTACTATATACAAATACGTATCGAGAGCTGTCGTAACTTACCGAGACCGACGATTTTACAGAATAGCGCCCCAGGGCAGGGCCACGCAGCGCGATGAAAAGTACCGCTGCTTTCTCCTGGTCGGTCCATCCGTTGGCAGCGGCGGCTGTTTCAAACTGGGGGTGATACATCGGGGGTCGGGGCCTTAAGGTTTGCAGTTCCCGGAACGCCAGGTGTCCGTACTTGTACCTTAGTCTTCTGTAGGTCCATTTTCAACCTTTCTATCTTCTGCTGAAGGCGCTCCTCCAGCTCTTCTACGACTTCTTGGAAGAGGGTCTCCTGTCTTCGTTCCGAATTTTCGATACTGTTTTGAATACGGTCCTGCTCTTCAATTTTGTCTTTCTGGCGACGCATTACTAAATCTTCAACAATTTTCTCCAACCGATCTTGTCTAATTTCTTGATTTTTTAAAATTTTCTGAAGCCGCTCCTGTTCTTCTTGTTTTTCTCTATGACATCGCTCCCCCCCTCCAAACGAATTTCCAGATTACCCAACATTTTCTCATGCCGGTCCTGTTCTTCTTGCTTTTCTTGTTGTCGTTATAATTTTTCCTCTGCCTTATCTTTCCGTAGTCTTTCTTGTTCTTCTGCCTTTTCCCTTCTCATATTCTCCATAAAATCGCCCAATAATTTGCTTACTTCCTCCATTTTCTTCGCTTCCTCCCTTGTACCAACCATTCCGACACCAATTGTTAGGATTCCGTGTGTCCACTAATTTAAACTCACGATAAAATACTTAACGAATTTATTTTTCTCACTATTTACACATAATTTGTACTAATTACAACACACATTTAACTATTTATAAAATTCCTTCGCCAAATTGTCACGATTCACAATTTAAAACTTTTTCGAATTCAAACTCAAACTTCAAAAAAACTGATTAGAATAAATATGACAGACGCAACTGTCATTGCCATATTTATCTCCTCGTTGTACTGGCTATAGTACAACAATATATGTTCTCATCTTTATGAAATATCATCACATAAAATGGACGAAGGCAAAAAGAAACAAAAAACAAAAAAAAACAAACAAACAAAGCAACAAAAAAATAAGTACTAAGGACACTACTAAGGAAACATTACACTCAAAAATTGCATTCGTTTATGTATTTAGTTTGTCTTCATTCAGTTTGCCGTAATTTTATATTGGTGGTTTTTGGTATATTATTTTTTCCCTTTGAGAATTTATTCTAAACTATGCGAAATTCATGCAAGCAAACGGACAAATCAATATATAGCTGTTTAGATTATCAAATTAATATTGACCAGTATATTAATGTATTTATTATAGGAAGTAGTTGGTATTTCAGAATAATAAAAGGACTTCTTTTTTCAGAGGATTATGGTTTGATACCTTATATGGAAACTTACTGAAAGTTGATGCATATGGAAACATTTTGGTAGCAGTTCATGGATTTGAATTTTTAAAACAGTAAGTAATAATAATCATAATATATGTATGGTAGATACACGGTAGATTTTCGGGAATTTTTTGAATCAATAATAACTAAGAAGAAATACATTTACAAGTAGTAATAGCAAATACAAGACCAATACTCCCTTGTTCCTAGTCTTGGTCTTGCAGAGTCCAATCTTGGTTTTGGTTTGGCTGAAAGATTTTTGCACAACTATTTTTTAAGTCTGTCAGCAAATATTGACACATTAAAAATTCGTGAATAGGACAGTATTAAATTTAAATTAAATATTTTTTGTCAACTTAAAATTATGTTTTCATTTTTTAGCTCAAGAATATATGAATTGTATCCCAACAAGTTTCTTAATTTAGACGAATCAAGAGTATATGTCTTAAACACCCTTTTCAACTTACCTGAAACCTACCTATTGGCTTGCCTAATAGACTTCTTTACTAATTCACCGGAATATTCAAAGACTGACACTGGTGTAAAGTGTGGAGAACTTCTGATGTCATACCAATCAATATTTCAGGTAAGAAAGTTTAATATAAAATTTAACTACGTTTTAATATGTGAGGGTTACTATTAAAACTCTAATGAGGTAGACACTAATTTAAAAAAATACACGGGGCATCAACTTATACTAGTCTTAGTATTTCTAGTTTAACATAATTAAGTTACATAGTTATAACTGCATAATATGTATTTATTAATGGAAATATTAAAAAAAACATAGATTGAATAATCTGTCTAATGCCCTGTTCTCGGAACTATGTTGTGTCGCTACCTACACTGGTTGACACTTCAAAGAGTTGAGAGTTGTATTAAACTTAAAATTGACAGCTGTTTGAATTTATGTACAAATCTCATTGGTTCGATAGTGTCGCTGACGATAGTACGATGTTCTGAGAACGGGGCTTAACGTGTCAGAGGAGATTTCGACATACGACAGCCAAAAAATAACAGAAAATACAATTTTTATGTGAATTAAAATTGCAGAAACTGTCACTGTCAAGGATCCTCTCGTTGGACAGAGTATATTTTTTATAGCGCAAAATGCCTGGGATAATTATTTTTTATCATTCTTAATTCACTATTTAACATTGTAAATAAACATTATACACTACATGCTTACTTACACCTTCAAAACAGAATAGCGATCCTCATAAATATTGCACTAAGACATGTGTAAAATCGACTTCAGAAAGCATATATGATCTTAAACATAATATAAGTATGATATTATTTCAATCAAGAAGTTTTATGATCAAGTAGACATTGACTTTTAAACGAACGCTAATGTAATTTTTTATAATATTTTTTTATCTGTCATCATATACAAAGAACGTTTGATCATGTTCAATCGTGTACATTCTCTATGATCAAAAAGTTGTGTATCAAGCGGGCTTTAACTATGAGAGGTAAAAAAATTCTAATGTAACTTTCAATAATAATTGAGTTTCTGTCATAAAAATTACACTTTGGAATAAAATATATCTTTTGGTAAGTGTATTACAGGTGTTCAGTATTTTAGTTGTTCGCTATTTTAGAAATATTACCACTAAAATAAACACCTAAAATCTTCTATTTTTATAAAAATACCGAGATAAATGCCTAATATTTATTTATTGTCCTTAACTAGAACTATAAAAATTTAAATCTAGAGTTTTTATATGCTTGTATTTAGTCGTTTAGAAAAAAAATAAGGTTATGGATTATTATTGTTTGTATTCAAATATTTGTATATTATTTTAATAAAAAAACAGTAAGTGTAATTTTTTCTTTGCTTTTCATCATTTAATCTTTTATAATATTACAAAGGCAACATGGCGAACTACGCTGGTTAATATGACACTTATTAAGAAAGATTATTTCAAAAAACTAGTCCAAGTAAGATTATGTCTGAATTTTCAAATTTTGGCTATAACAGGATGGCATCACGAAATTCCTTAAAAAAAAGAATATCTTTTGAATATCGGACGTTAAAGGTGGATTTTCATGCATCGGTCGTCCGTTGATACGGTTTATTATTGTATTGTGGTGAATTTCTGTTTTTAATTTACAATAACATTAATGTCGTATCGTATCGTCGAATATCGGAAGCTTGAAAATTAGTGATGTTGATTTTCATTACTTTTGATTACTCGTTACTAATAGTTACTCGACTACTAAGTCAAAAAAAATCATTTCAAATATTCGTTATTTTGATTACTTTGTACTGATTTTGGTACTGCTGTCAACCTTTGTGTCTAATCTCACCTGCTTAAGGGATATATTTTCAAAAATAGATGCTTAGTACCCACGTTTTTCATTTAATGGACCTCTGTTTGTAGATTTAATACTTCTAGAACTGTTACAATTTTATTTACAAATATTCAAAAGTTCACTTGTGCAAAATTTCAGCCTCTTAGGGCGATGAATTTGAAAACATCGTTTCTGGGTACTTAGGTTAGGTTAGTTTGCTGGGGTTTGGGATCATATTTGATCCCTCACTCGGCCTCGCCTTGGGCCGATTGCGACACCCCTGTATTGTTTTACCAAACCTTCCTCTCATTCTTTCTTTGCATTTAAGCACGTCCAGCTCTTTGCAAAGTTCCCGATGCCGCTGAGTACTTACTTTCATCACTTAGTAAATAACTTAGTAGAATATTGTGCCCTATATTCTGTGCAAATTTTCATTCTCCTAAAAAATGTTTTTTTTTCTGAACACTCATCCTCATCTCATACCCTTAAAAGGCGAATTTCTAAAAATCGCCCCTTAGTGCTCAATTACGTTACCTACGGAACTTCTACGCAATTTTATACTTCTAAAACCGATTTAACAAATTTTTGAGACAACTTTCACTCCTGGTGGTGAGGTGACTTTCACTCCTGAGGGGGTGAATTTCCAAAAAAATCGTAATGCTGATATTTTTCGCCTTTCCTAAGGAATCTCTAACTAGGACTAATTTTAAAAAATATATACAACATTTTACCACTAGTTTCACCCCCTTAGAAGATGAATTTTCGAAACTCGCTTCTGTTTAATTAAGCCTCTGCAAAATTTCATACTGCTAGGAGAGATTTTATTTTTTCTGCATACAGCATTCAAATTCAAAATTCATCCTCTGATGAAATGAGGGGTCATCATGGGATGGATTTTCAAAAAGCCGCTTCTAAGTACTCACTTTCGTCACTTAAGGAACCTCTACAAAATTTCAAACACCTAGGACTAATTTTAAAGAAAATTATACAAAATTTCACTCCCATTTTTATCCCCTTAGGAGATAAATTTCCAAAAATAGATTTTAACTGTTGTATTGACATGACCCAAAAAACAAAATGCTCAGGAGTCCTGGTTCTGATCGTAAAATTATATTTTAGGAAAATTTACACACGAAATTATTGCACAGGGTGTTTAAATGTTAGGGTAAAAACAACCCCTCGCTTATCCCTGTATAATATGCCAAATACTAAAGTTTATAAGAAACTGAGTTTACGAATTAAAGTTGATATAATTATATACAGCTTGCTAAAAAATGCATGAAAATAGGGCTAAAAATAACAAAAATATAATACTTTAAATTTGACCAAAAAATTCCCCACGACAATACTATACAGGGTGATTCCTGTAAGTCGGTCGTGCTTTCGGGGAATGATAGGGGACGTCGAGAAATATTAATTTTGGTATAGCACACTATGGGTCGGAAATGCCTCTGACGCAAGATACAGGGTGTTAAAGTTTTTAAAAAATTAAAGATATTCTTTAATAGTTTTTTAACAGTTGAAGGGATCGTTATAAAATTTTATTATAGGAGTCTACCTAACAGAGACGCTTTAAATGTATAAAGAAGAGGTTTTAGGTTTTTCTTTAAACCAGTGGCGTAGATGTGATAAGCATCGGGTAATCGAGTTTTTTTATTTACTCTAAATACAAAATATTTTCATGGTGTCGGTCTGTTTGTCCGTCTGTCACACGATAACTCAAAAACCGCTACTATACTAACTAATAAATAATATAAAGTATGGGCGGCTATACGTGCCTCCCGGCGCCAATTTTTTACTATTAGCTCCTTATTTTTTTTTAATTATAAATTTAAACTACAATTTTTGTTATTGTTTATAATAAAATTCTTAGTTTTAAGGTAGTCATAATAATTCTCATATTTAAGGTTCTCATTAAAAAATGTATTTATTTTTACATTATTATGACAAGGAGTTAGATAGAAGGAAGTTGCAAGAGACATTTTTTCTTGGAAATAAACCAAGTAAATAAAAAAAAACTCTGAAATTTTTATTTTTTACCAGTGGCGTACTTTTTTTTTGAAAATTTGCGTATCACATCTACGCCACTGGTTGAAACTAAAACCTCTTCTTTTTACATTTGAAGCGTCTCTGTTAGGTAGACTCCTATAATAAAATTTTATAACGATACTGTAACGTTTTTAGTTCGTTACATGTCTTTTTTATATATGATATATATGATGTCTGGCGTATCGTCATCGGATTCCGTATCGTTCAGGCCTGATAATTTATTTGGCACGCTTGGCGTAATTTTTACGTTCCCTAGTCGCCAACCGTGTTATCGTTTGACACAACCCTGTTATCGCTCTGAGGAGGCGCTTTATTGTTATTGATTAGTTTTCTCTGTAGTGAAATACCTTATCCACGACTGCTCTCCGATGAAAAGCTGCCGTTCGCAGAGGTAGTTGTTTAAAAAAACGCTACAATACCTTCAACTGTTTAAAAAAACTATTAAAGAATATCTTTAATTTTTCAAAAACTTTAACACCCTGTATCTTGTGTAAGAGGCATTTCCGACCCATAATGTACTATACCAAAATTAATATTTCGAAGTCCCCTATCACTCCCCGAAAGCATGACCGACTTACAGGAATCACCCTGTATATTAGGTATACGTCCAAGTACGATACGATGAGCTAAATGATAAATACTGTAAGTAGTTTTAGTAATCAAAGTAATCGTATGGTTTTAAATTCGTTACTCGTTACGGGTAGTTAAGTAACGGGTACTCGAATAGCGAATAGTTACTTTTTCAACACTTCTATGGAAAATCCCCCTTTATCTGGCAGATTTCTACAGTAAAATTACCAAGTAATTTATTGGAGAATTTAAAATCACGAAAACTTTAAATTAGAACTTTCATTTTTTTACATGCATTCGTGAATGCTTTTGGATTAACTGAAAGTTTAGGTGTAACACCCTTATTAAAATTTTCTATTTTTAAACACTCAAGTAAAATATACGTACATTGTAATAATGGCGCATTATCTGTTTACCATTCCTTCACTTAACTTCATTGGTTTAAGGTCACATATGTCTTTCAGAAGTCATATCTACGGTAATAAAATATACCCATGTCATTCTGTAATATAACGGAAAAAGCATTGTTATGTTGGTATTTTTTTCTATTAGAAATTTTTCTAGGCATTACGGGACTGTTTTCACAAAATAGTCGTCCTGTTAATGGGGTAAAGTAATGTAATAAATTTACAATTACCTAATATTAACAAATATTTATTCTGTTATGGTTTTAGGACGTTAGAAATGCCGTCGACTTCGTTCATCTCAAAGGAGAACTGAAACAGAGAACCATCGAAAATTTAGAAAAGTACGTCAAGAAAGACGAAAGGCTTCCGACGTTTTTGGCCAGGTTAAGGGAGAGCGGTGCTAAAACGTTTTTACTTACTAACAGTGATTACAATTTTTCGGATAAAATTATGACACATTTATTTGATTTTCCACATGGAGCAAAGGTAAGCGCGTATAAACTTTTGTATTTATACATCACGTTTGCGTTACAAAATGTTTCCAAAGATAAAATTAAATATTCTTCAGAATGTGTTGTAGATTTTTGTACGTCATAAAAAGGTCTGCAAATATGTGGCTCTAATATTTAATATACAGGGTGGTCCGAATTATATTCGGGAAATTTCAGCAGAATATTCTGCAGATAAACATAAGTATAAAAGTTCGACTAAATTTATGTCCTAAATTTTTTTTTTCGGAGATACAAGGCGTAGAATTTTCATTTTTATTTCGATTTTTTCCAAATAATTTCTTAACTAACGTCGATATTTGGATGAAAATTGGTTTCTGCCTGTTTTTTTGGCATAAGAAATTTGATTTCCATGTCAATATGACTCCTACCTGTATTAAACTACTGAGTGAAAAAATCTACATTTCCACCGTTTTTTGCGTAAAAAAGTTCTCTTGGTAAAAAGCGAGAGCTACGAGTAATTGTTCTCCATATATTTGGTTGTGATATATTTGGAATCGAAATAATCAATAAATGTCATTATTGATAAAAATTAAACATGTTTACTGGATAGTTATTAGTATGTAATAAATCTGATCCCTTTTTGTGCCAAAGGTTCAACAAAAACTGTTTTATCATAATATTTTCTACAGTATGTACCCGGATTGTCTTTACAAGAGGAAAAACTCTTTATTATTGACATTTTGAGAAAAATGCATTCTTCAAAAAAATGTTTGCATAATTTAAAAAAAAATAAAAAGTTCCCAAATTTATCATTTCAGTCAAATAGCTATTTAGTCAAGATGTTTATTTTTTGTCAGTGATGAGATGTATTGATAATTGATAATTTCCATTCCAAATATCTTCAGAACGGTTGCTCATAGCTATTTTTACCAAATTCCAATTTCCCCAAAGTATTTGAAGTTTATACAATATTTTCAAAATTAAGGTTTCTTTTAAATCTCTTCTACACTTAAAAGTTTTGCCTGTCATTTAAATCTGACGTTTAGAGGTCTGACAGCAGTTCTGTAGATAGTCTTCCATCTTAGCCACGTCTAAACATAGTGTTTTATCTGTCAGAGGTTAGACGTATTAAAGACTAGTGTACACACTGGAAGTTTTACGTGCGGATTTATCAGTTATACATAGCAGTGTGTTTAGTGAAATTGAAACGAAAAGGCATAATTTTACTACAAAATTGTATTTATGGTTTAATCTTCGTTTGTAAACGCGCAAAGCTAATTGTGTAAATAACATGGTTTGATAATAATCATTAAATATATGCCTAATTTTGAAGAAGAAACAAAGACACAACAGCTCATGGACACTGTACTAAAGTGTGCGAAAGAAATAGGGGGTTCACAGCAGCGCAGCGTAACAAAAATAACAAACTGACTGATGAGACGAAAGCACTTCTCAAGAAAAGAAGGGAAATGAAAACCGAGAGCAGCATAAACAGAATAGAATATGCAGAATTATGTAAGACAATAAGATATGATCAGAGAAGACGTCAAAACTACAACGAAAAAGAAAGCAGCTAATCGCATTAACACACAATAACATCAGAATAACAGACAAAAGCGAAATAATAAGCCCAGTAATAAAATTCTACAATGGCCTATATAAAGCCCCAGAAAACATACATCAAGATGAAAGACTATCCCTGCCACAAGACGACGCCCCAGAAGTTCTCGTGGGAGAAGTAGGAAAGACTCTTGAAAAAAAATATATGAAAAATGGAAAAGCAGCAGCGAATGACCGAATAGCTGAAATACTTAAGTAGGCCGGTAGGAGAACTTGGAAGATTCTTATGAAGAAAGACTGTAAAAGAATAGAGTGGATACGACAAAAGACAGTATCAAATCACTCAAGTGGCAATGGGCAGGACACCTAGCAAGAAGGACGGACAACAGATGGACCACAAAAATTACAGCATGGTACCCACGAAGAATGAAGAGACCTAAAAGAAGACTAAACCTGAGATAGGACATTGGTATTAGAAAATTAGCAAGGATAACGTGGGCTCGCATAGCCAACAATCGACAAGAATGGGCCCAACTACAAAGAGAGTATGTGAGGGAGGCTACAGGGACAGGAGACTACAGGGAGGCTACACCATAATTGGAAATGGTTGAATAAGCTGAGAATGATGATGAAGATGATATTAAACCATTATTTTAAAATAACGTTATTTTGTGAAACTATGCAAAAATATTAGATTTTTAAAAGTAACTTATTAAAGATGCTGAAATATACCCTTATTATTTTTTTGTAAATTTACTTATATATTTTTTCATATATACGCGAAACAGTTTTGTTGTAAACTGAATGACCTCTACACACAAGGTTTTACTCAGTACGTTTTGAATAAACAGGCAAAACTGACAGGTATAACATTATATGTAGAAGGGGCTTTACGTTGGACCTTTTAGTTGGCTTTAAGTTAATAACATATTATTCTAGCCCGACGAACCCCACAGAAATTGGAAAACATATTTCGATGTCGTAGTAGTCGATGCGCGCAAACCATTATTTTTCGGCGAAGGTACAATTTTGAGGCAAGTTGATACCTCCACCGGTGCTTTGAGGGTTGGCATTCATACGGGTCCTCTCCAGAAAGATCACGTGTATTCTGGTGGATCGTGTGACGTATTTACTAACTTCATTGGTGCTAAAGGTAAATAGAAGATAACATTTTTAAAATTCGTTGGTAATAAAATTTACATATCAAATATATTTATAGGAAAAGACGTATTATATGTTGGAGATCATATATTTGGCGATATATTAAAAAGTAAGAAGATTAGAGGGTGGAGAACATTTTTAATAGTTCCAGAATTGGTTCGCGAACTTCATGTGTGGACCGATAAATGCCAATTATTTAATGAATTACAAAATTTAGATGTCAAATTAGGAGAAATGTATAAGTAAGTTATATTTTGTTAGTATCCATCAAACATTTTTTTCTTTTCTAAATTTCTCGACTTTTATTAAACAATAAAGAAATTGGAAGTAAATATTGCTATCAAATTTACTTAAAAATATATCAGACACGTTATTTTTTGTCTGTATATGTTTAGTTAAATTATATATTAGTATAGTAACCGTTATCTCTTTTTTTTCTGTAGTATCAAAATAATATTCTCCCCCAGGATATATATTTATAATGGTTTTAGTATTTATTTTAAATATGCTGGTGATATTTACCTATTTATTTTATATTTCTGTTTCTGTTTAGAAATTTAGACAGTAGCACTAAAGAAAAACCGGACATTTCAAAACTCCGAAATTGTATTAGAGACGTTACACATAAAATGGACATGTCATATGGAATGATGGGTAGCTTATTTAGATCAGGCTCTAGACAGACCTTTTTTTCTTCACAAGTAATCTAAATATAATTATTAAATATTTTAAATGTTGATTGCATTTTTTTTTTCAAGGTTGTTAGGTACGCAGATCTCTATGCTGCCACGCATCTTAATCTACTGTATTATCCATTTTCCTATATGTTCCGCGCTCCCGCTATGCTGTTGCCACACGAATCAACTGTGGCACACGAACAACATTTTGCTGCTGAGCTGCTTCCTGATCCTAATAACGATACTGATGAAGATAAACACGAACGAGTAAGTATCAGAATAAAGTGCATACAAATCAAATACTAGCTTCACATTCTTTCTATGGTCTGTACTTTAATGCATACGGCGGAGATAAATATAAAAAGCGGCAAACAATATTACCGGTTCGTAGTGATGGGAATACCGGTTCCACACACATGAGTCGCGTTACAATAGACCGTTCCAGAAAAATACCGCAACAAAATATCGCGAGTTTGTAACCGAGGTTCCGACTTCCAAAGTGTCGCGGTCCTCGCTAAAAATATATTTAACTTATCTATATTTGTAAATTAATGTAACTTTTATCCGCCACTCATTTTCCAAATATCGAGTTCGTTACGTTACTCAAATACCGACACATTACTACCGGTTCGTACGAGAAAGGAAATAATAAACGAAGATAATAAATTTAAGCTATTCAATAATGCTCATTTATGTTACAGTTGTTTAAGAATCTATTACAGCTGTAGTAAAATGAGTAACTAATTGTGAAAAATAAAGTTCCAACCCAAAATACAATTTTTAATGCATTCTTAAACACCTACTTGAGCGGTTTGAAATTTTGATGCAAAATCGCAACCTAATTTTTATCTCTTTTTAATACATTTTATTTTTCATTTAAGCTGTCTACAACACATTTGACAAGGACACGCTTAAATTTGTTCTCTCTTAGCGAGTCGTAGTAGACAGTTAAAGCATGGCCGAAGACGTAGACGTAAACGTATCGTTTGACATGTGCTTGCGCAGTGAGAAATTTACTTACGTTTACGGATACGTAGCTTTGCGTGCCTACGTACGTACAAAACGCAAACGTATTGAGCCAAAGGAGTTTCGATTTCACCCGATTGATGCCGAACGTACAAATTCACAAACGACTCGTTTCAATAACTGGCTAGTTAATTAAGTTATTTCATAAATTTGTGGGCCTGTGTAACAGAAAATACAATAAATTTATACACAATAATACAATTTAATACAATAAATTAATAACATGAAGATATTAAGCATCATGACAAACTTTAAGGACTACTTTCTGTAATATCATAATTCCCATTAATAATTTTCTTCATCTTTCGATATTATTATAAATTGAATGGGTAATCAGTGGAAGAATAGGTATCAATTTGTTACGTATTGTGCTATGCTTTAACTGTCTAGTATTGCTTGACAGTTGCGATCGAATATCCTTATAAGGACCTTTTTTTCTACATATCTCTTTTGCCTATCATTCATAGAATTGAGGCGGCAACAATGTGAGCGTAACGTACCGTCGAATAACGTTCAACTGTTGTAGAAGTACATACAGTTGAACAAATATAGGAAGAGACTTGGGGATAGCACCGGTCGCGTGTTATTTTATATTTCTCACGTCTCTAGCTATACTTGTTAAGTTGTACATAAATTCGACAAGGTCTATATTATATACATTCCGGTTTTTATAATTCCGGGCACTGTATTATATACAAGGATTTTCACATAAAATCTTTAATCTGCACAAGTAAGTTAAATATTCAAGAACAACGCCAACTATGGAATGGAATTGCTAGAATAAAAATTTAAATCCAGTACCATAGATGAAAGTGAAAGAAAAATCCAGTACTTAGAATTTAATGGAAGGGTATACATCATGCGTCCAGCGTCACAATTATAATAATAATAATAATAATAAATAATGTTTATTGTGCAAATGTAAAAAAGTACAAACATATAACAAATTGAAGGCAATAATTAATCTACATTCCACAAAAAGGTTGGAGATTTGGTGTTACCCATTCTTCCACTCCACCTTATGAAAATTAATAAAAAAACATGTTTTCTAGACCTAAATATTACATTAAAAAAAAATTAAACTAAAACTAAGATTCTAAACCTAAGGTATTAATTGAAATATGGTGACATCCCAATTTTAGATAGTACATTACTTTTAAACTGTGCCAAAGGCAAACTCAAGTCATCTATAAATGTATTTAATAAGGTAGGAGCCATATAGGAAAAACAATTCTTATATTTTGATGTAGTGTGCTGAGAGACTGTAAAAGAATTAACTCTGATGTTGACACTATGAATTTGAGATCTGTTAATAATTAATTTTATTAAGTAAATGGGGATTTTATTTTTAAATATTTTATATAATAACATCACATACAAATATTCCAATCTTTCGCGCATTTCTGGTTCCTTTAAACGTTTTAGGTGAGGACTAATATGATCTCGATAAGATAAATTGCACACAAATCTCATACCGGCGTTCTGGATTCTTTGTATTTTTAGCTTATTATATTTGGGTAAGAATGCATAATATACTTGGCTGCAATAATCGATATGAGGATAAATCAGACTTTTGGCTAGATGTAGCTTACTAAATTCGTCAAGTTGTTTCTTAAGAGAATATATTGACTTGAGCTTAAACATGGACATTTGATAGACTTTATTACACTGATTCGAAAAGCTCAAGTCATTATCCAAATCGACACCCAGGCTCCTTGCACTGGTAGTCCATTGAAGTATAACATTATCAATATTTAAATTTAAATTGGACGTAACATATGTGTTAGTTTTTTTATTACCAATATAAAGAGCCATAGTTTTGGCTGGATTTATTCTCAATCCATGCTCACTACACCAGTCTGAGAACAGGCGAATGTCGTTGATAACATCTATAGTGTCCCGAGCCCCCTCAATGGAACAGTCTAGATACAGTTGAACATCAACAACATATGTATATGACACTGCTCAACTGCTTTAGGCAAGTCAAAAGTATAAATCAAGAACAATATAGGCCCCAAAATGCTGCCTTGCGGTACGCCACTAGAAGTTTCTCCCAATTCAGAACACGCATTATTAATTTTAACTCTCTGAGTGCATCCATAAATATAGTCTCTAAACCAAGCCTCAGCAACAGAGTCAAAACCAATGTATTTTAGTTTTGCCAAAATTATTTCAAAATTTACCAAATCAAAAGCTTTACTTTGGTCCAACAAAACCAAAATTGTACTTCCTGACTTATCCGCCGCATAAGCAATGTCATCAACTACCTTAAGAAGTGCAGTAGCCGTATAATCCAGACTGTTCCATTGGTAGGATTTTATTTGCATTCAAAAACTGCGTAATCTGTTTTGAGATGATTCGCTCCAGCAGCTTCGACATGGCAGGCAAGATGTTAAGGTCTTAAATCACTGAAAGTTGAGGGACAAGATTTCTTTGGAATTGGAACAATATTTGCAGTTTTCCATATACTGGGAGAAATACCGCTGCTGATAGAAGAACTGAAAATATTTTTTACAACATTAATGCAGTACGGTATCACAATGTTAATCATGTTTATATTAATATTGTCAAAACCATATGATGCAGATTTAATGGACCTCAAGCTACTATAAATATCACTTTCCGTTACAGGGCTAATGCTAAATACATTGTTTGTTTAAGTTTGTTATTTCTGTAATAATTTAGTATATCAGCACTAATATTAGAGTGATTTGTAATATTTAGGAAATAGTTATTTATTGCGTCTGGATCACTCAAATCATCAGGAAGCTTATTGTTAGAACACTGTTTGGAAGCCAAACCACATTTGCGTAAATTATTCCACAACATCTTATTATTGTTTTTACTTGCATTTAGAACATACTTAATGTACGCATCTTTCTCCTTTTTAATTGCAGTTTTTAAATAGTTTCTCAAATCAACATAATATTTCCTTGAGGTTATCGATCTTTCTCTAAGATATTTATTATAAGCTTTTTTCTTTAGTTTTATTATTTCTTTAATATTGTACGTAATATGAGGTTGGTAAGGGCGTTTAAAATTGACCACTTTTAGCGGTGCGTGACTATCGAATAATGATAATATTATATTATTTAAGCACTCCGTTTTTAAATTTACATCTGCTAATTCATTAACACTGTTCCAATCCACTGAAGTTGCGTCACAAGCAAATGCATCCATGTCAAAGTTGCGGAAGTCTCGATAATAAACACATTTAGGAATCATCATATAACATTCAAACTTAAAGAACAAGAAACGAGCATATGATCAGTATTGCAGAGCACATCTCGGGTGTCCGATTTATACATTTTTAAATCTTTGCTTACACAAATTATATCAATCAGTGATTCACTTGTCTCCGTTGTTCTAGTGGGTTTATTTACGATTTGAACTAAATTAAATCCATTTATGACCGAATTAAACCTACTTGCTGAATGTGAATTTGAATCTAAAAGATTAATATTTATATCCCCCATTAAAATAATAGATTGAGTTTCTAAATAAGTAATCTCAAGCGGTTCAAATATTTCATCTATACAATTTATGCTTACGCTAGGCGGCCTATAAACCACTCCTACACCAATTTTTTTACTTTTCATACTGATAAGAACCCACAATTGCTCAACTCCATCATCACTAATATTTGAATAAAGAGTCTTAATTCTGAAGGATCACCTTGAATATACAGCAACACCGCCATCTCTAGTTGGTCGATCCAGTCTACTCAAGTTGTAGCCGTCAAGAGCAACAAGATTTTCCGGATAATCTTCATTTAACCAGGTTTCCGTAACAGCCAATATATGAAAGTTTGAGTCCATAGCAAAATTACGAAACTCGTTGAAATTTGAAAGTAGAGATCTATTATTTATATGACCAAGCTCAATCTCAAGTTTTTTGACTTCTCAATCTTTGGTACACCATTAATATATTTAATAAAAATATTCTGCTCGCCATTTTGTTTCCTTGCTAACAATTCTGTACGAATTTTTTGATAATATTCTCTCTGCATTTTCGTCTGATCTGTAGTAATAACAACGCTTTTATTCCTTAAATCCTTTTTACATCTCAGCAAGGTTAGAACGTCATCCGTTGGGGATAGTCCCACACGAAGAGGTGCCGGTTTTCCATTTTGACCATTTCCTAGTCGGGCTGTAGTTAATTCTTCAACTCTTACATCTGGTGTAATGGATTTGATTATACTTATTACGTTTTGGCGGTCTGAAACATCGGGATTCACAGTGAGTCCATAGAATATCACATTTTTTTATCTTTTTTGACGTTCGGATATTTCTGACATTAAATTTTCGTTTTGTTCTTCAGTATTATTAACTCGATCATTTTGGAGCTGAGTTATCTGTTGTAGCAGTTTAACTCTTTCCTGTAGTGTTTCAATGGCTTTTATTAAATGACTATTATCATTTTTCTGTTCGGCGCACCCGGTACATCTCCAGTTGCATCCATCAACACTTGATAAGACATCAAACTGGTTTTTAGATATATTCACGCACCTAATGTGATAAAAATGTTCACAAAAACAACATTCCAGTCCGGGCGAACGCTGACTGAGTGCCGAATTGCAGGTATGACAAATATTTTGCGGCATTATTAATATTTTATACAAATAAATAAACTTTTATCGGAGCAGGACAAATACACGTCGAACGCGTTTGACTCTCAATTGAAGACGTCGTAGCAATAAACGTGATACTCTACTAGACTAGGGAAAGGCGCACCTGTATCTCCGATAAATGTGGCAACGCCGCAACAGCATATCGTACAAACACCGTCCCTTTTTCTTCTCTCCGAGATCAACGACGCTTTCCGACCCGGTATAGATTTCAGCTGTTATTTTTGCTGCTTGAAATAAAAGTTTTGTTTATCCCCGCTTTTACAACGTTTTGGTGTTCACGTAGGGTACATACATAAGTAGGTTTATTGACAGATATTTCTTTTTCAGATTTTGGAAAGAACACAAAGCATTATTCCCCATATTCGACCGGAAACACCACAAACTGTTACACATACGCACGACGAGGATTGTAGCGATGAAGATAGCGATGAAAGAAATGCCGCCTCGAAAAAAGTCTAATATTTAAAAATTACAAATCTTTTAAAAGCTCAACGTTAAAAACGCTTAAAGAAGAGAACGATGTAATAAGAATAAAAAACTTGAATAGTTTGTTAAAACATGTATTCTAAAACTCTTTAGAGAGTAAGTTGTTATTTTTTAGTATTTATTATATCTAAATCTCTATAATATTACCTGCCCTTTAACACTAAAAGCAATTTTTTGTCATAAACAAAGAGTAAGATATGGCCTTAATATATAAAGAAAAGGTAAAAGTAAAAGATAATAGTTTATCTTTCTAAAATCCTGTTAGACAAATATATAGTTAATATTTTAGTATCTTTTTATGTGGAATGATTCTGAAACATTTTGATATTTATTGTGATTTTAATATGTATTTTATTAACAGGAGATCTATGTGTCTAGACCTTTTGAAATTCAGAATAATAATAATAATAAGTTTTTATTGCTCAGTTATAGGAAGTAATAAATGTAGATAAATGTATTTATATATATGATAATGTGTTAATTGTTAAATTTTCTATATTTTACGTGAATCCTGTGTTTATGTTGTTGACAATATACATTTAATTTGGCGGATTTAAAACAATGCGAGTTGTCAATACTATTAGTTTAGGTTCTACATACATATATAATATATTCCCATTTTAAATATTTTATGCATTTAATTGTTTTTTATAATATAAAATTTAAATGTGTATGGATTTTATTTTTAATACCTATTCCCGAATTCACTACCTACTTTCAAGCTATAAAAACAGCAAGACTAAGTAATGCGAGCCCTAACAACTAAATATTCGGACAAACAAAAATTTATTGAAAACTCTAATTTACATAAACTGTATTATCAAATTTGAGTACTAAATTAATAATATATTAAAAAGTATCATTTCTAATGAGTATTTACATAATTTGGTTTCTATAAACGTTAAAATAAACTCTAGGCAAATAAATAAACAAAAACATTACATAATATCGTGACAACTAAATGTTCGGACACTTTAAGAAATAATTGTTTATATATGTCGTTACATCAGCATGCTATTTTACAACCACTCCAAGCCTACCTGGAATTGTTTTTATTAAAGTTTGACACACATCAGAGTAAAAATTTTGCCATAATTCACCTAATATCGTCAAATGGGCAACGGTTCTTTGGGGGTCATCACGCAATTTCTGTTTCATTTTATGCCACAAAGTTTCGATAACATTAAGATCCAGACTGTTTAAAGGTCATGAGAGTACTTTGGTATTATTTTCCCTAAACCACTTTTTAATTTTTAATAGTTTTAACCGTATGGCATGTACTACCATCCTGTTTAAATAAAAAATTCATGTTCTGGTAAATGTCTACCACACTTGGCACAAAAGTGTTTTTCAAAATTCCTTGATATCTTGACGCATTAATGGTGCCTTCTAACACCTCATACACTCTTAGACCCATTGCGGACATACGCCCTAAAAACATAATGCTTTTAGGAAATTCACTATCCTTTTGAGGCAATCTTTATAAACTGATAATTTCAATCGTAAATTGCAATTGCCAGTGCACATGAGCCAGTTTGATATCAATAAAATAAAAATAATCAAACACCGCTAGAGTGCGTATTTGATAAAGAGCGCCTCAAAAGTACAGTGAAATTTCCTAGAGGCATTATGGTTTGAGTTTGTCCACAATGGGTCTAGGAAGGTATGAGGTGGTAGAAGGTACAATTACTGAGTAAAAAAATCAAGAAATTTTGAAAAATTTTGTGCCAAGTACGAGAGACCTTTACCAGGACATGAATTTTATATTTCAACCGGACGCTGCTCTATGTTATATGGCTAAAACTACTAAAAAATGGTTTAGGGACAATAACATTAAGGTCTCTTCATGGCCTTCGAATAGTCCGAGCCTTAATGTTAACCAGACGTTGTTGCATATAACGAAACAAAAATGCGTGATAATTCACAACAAACCGTTGCGCATTGGACGATGATATTAGATGAATTATTGCAAAATTCTGAAATTGGCTTATGTCACTCATTAATAAAAATAATGCCAGACAGGATTGCAGCGTTCTAAAAACATATATCGATGTAACGCCATATTAAAATAGTTTTTTCTTAAAATGTCCGAACATTTACTTGTCACGATATTGTGCAACATTTTTGTGTTTATTTATTCGCCTACAGTTTATTTTAATGTTTATAGAAACCAAACTATTTAAATACTCATTAGAAATGATACATTTTAATGTAAGTATTGTTAATGTTGTTCTTAAATTTAATAATTCAGTTTATGTAAATCAAAGTTTTCAATAAATTTTTGTTTGTCCGAACATTTAGATGTTAGGGCTCGTAGTTTACATATGAGGCGTCAAGCTGCAAAACCCGCCTTATCCATTTAAAAAAAAATGGCCTAATGACATATATTAATAGTGGGACTCTGAAATCTACATAAACATAATCCCAAACTGTAGTAAAAGTCGCCTATTCCTATATAAAATTCACTACAAATTACGTTACTGCAGCAAAATCCGTATTATCCACTTATATTTGCTTTTTTATTATCATTATTGTTACAAATCCAGCATTTTTCATAAGCTTTTTACTGTGACTACTGACGTCTTTTCAAATCCTTACTTAATTTTAATAAAATAGTATATTTAATAAATCAAGTTAGGATGCAAATACCGTATGATCGAAAAAAAAGGCGTCCAGTTGGCTAGGAAATGACGATCGATGACATTTCCTATATAAAGTTAGATATAAAATGACAGCGTTCTTCATTTCATAGCCAATATGTATCATACTGCAACAAAATCCACCTTATCCGAATTATTTTTGTTTCTTCTGTTTAAAAATTAAATATTAATTTTTATTTCTAGTTCAACGAGATACAAACAATGGACACTCAATGGAGACGTTTTTTGTAAATTAACGCTTCAAACATTTGTTAAAACAGTTTTTGCTTATTATCGAAACGTTTCACACTGGCCGAATTTAATCAAATCATGGCATAAATAGAGTTACGCGTTTTATTTTATTGAAACTATAAAAAATCAACATAATTTACCTAAATATATAAATTGATTTTGTTTTAGTTTCATATTTAACAGAAATTGTATTATACAGGGTAACCTAGGCTAATCAGAATACCGTTTATATGAACTAAATAGGCAACATTTTAATTATAGATTCTTCCACTGAGGAAGAAATAGTAGCATATGCTAGGGTGGAATGTGGAGATACGATCCCCACTTTTTTAGATGTTTAAATTTTTATGATATTACTAATTCTAGTTTTAACAATTTACATTTAACACAAAATGGTAATACCGAAAAATAAATTTATAAAATGATGTTCCTAATATTTTGAATTTTAACAGTTTTACGTTTAACAGGAAAAATTAATACCCTTTTGTCTAAAGAAAAAAAAATAAATGTATGTAAATATCCTCTGTATTGTTTACATTTACCATACTCCACTATATTAATAGTCCAAAGCTAATAAAGCAATGTTAAAGAGGTTTAGAAAAATGTTTATCTGATGATTAAGATTTACAACTAGATTTTTTTGCACGTTTTATTAGCTCTTTTGGCCTTTTTACAATATGTCTACAGTAAAAAAATTCTTAAAATAATTTGAATGCAGATAAATCTAACAAATATTGCATAACTTAGTCGAAACTAAGACTTTTAGATTACACTGTATAATTTTATTGCGGGCAACTTCGGGCAACCTTTGTTGGTGGATACTATATAGAAAGGCATTGAATAATATAGAAAAAAATATGGGACATTGGAAATATGGTGAAAACACAAACAAAATGCTTTTTGTATTTTGTTTTTTTAATAATTCACTTAAGAACATAATATTACCTAGCTTATTATCTCATATGATTTTTAAAATACAGACTTATACTATCATTTTTTGGTACTAAATAAGTCTATAGCTCAGTAGCCCCATTCCATAACTGTAGTTTTAATTTTTTTAAAAAATAAAGCTTTTTAATACATTTGAACATATCAAATGTATATCTATTTAACTACACGCTTAAAACTTGCCAACGATTTTAATCAAGTTTGACCTAAATTAAAACAATAAATCAATCATTTATCGTGTCAAAATCATGTGTAACTAGTCTTCTCGAATAGTAGAGTATCAACACTGACATTTTTGTGACCAATTATTAAAAGTAAATATTTCTATTTATGCCATGATTTGACCAAATTCGGCCAGTGTGGCGTTTGTGGGATAAGGCGGGTTTTGCAACTTGACGCCTCATATAGTGTTGTAATAAAAGGAACGTGTCCTTATAAGTGCATGTATGAGCACAAATTAAAACGTTCCACGTAAAAATGTGTGACGTAAATGGTGGTCATGCTAAACTTTGAATTCAATAATCAATATCTCGAAATCCATGAGAAATAATTATTTGTAGTTTTTTTTATAAAACTTTCTTAACGTTACTACTATATTTTTTTTGTAGACGGTATGTGAAAATCTTTACAAATAAAAAAGTTATACGATTGTTGAAAAGTGCTACGCACTAAAAGTAAAAGGACGCGTTTTTTAAATTTCTTGAACTGAAAAGAAACAAACCTGTGGAATTTTTCCCATTTAAGCATCTTGTAACCGAAATTCAAAATAAAAAAAGAAGGTTTAATATCTAAAGTAGTTTTGAGTTATCGCGTGTTGTGTTAAAAAATTGAGTTTTCAAATTACCATGATTACTGACGATTTTTCATTATAAAAAAGTGGTTACCCTAACGATATTCTTATAACTCAATTTCAGATACCCAGAAGCATATCTAATTATTTTATGTAGTTATCTTTACGAAAAAAAGCTTTCGACCGTGATTTTACTCCACTAGACAGGGAAAGACTGTATCTCTGAAAAATGTGGGAACAATGCGACAGCACACCGTCGCATTTGTGTCACTCCGACCTAATAAGATCCGTAGGCGAAGAGTTGCCAACGGTGTATAGACAGAGTATAGTTATTATATATGTATATGTTAACTATTATATGTTGTGTAGTATTAATATTGCGTATACTACGTGA